CTACTTGCTCCTTACCCTTTCCTTTTTTTTTTTTTTCTTGCTCTCCTTTTATTTTCTTCCCCCACCTCATGTCCGGGCATTTTAGCATTGTCTCATAGTGCATTTTAGTGCTGTCCCATAGTGCATTTTAGCACTGTCTTTCCAGGCTTTTTGTACTGGCGGTTTTCAGGGGTCTCGACTACTATGAATACTAATATAGTTAGTATCTAAAGTGCTCCACAGATTGGATTTCCCGATCCAGAGTTTGTACCAGATGTCCAAAAGCAGGAGTTCAAGGTGATGGAGGTGAAATCCTGGTTGCCCTGCAATCGTCACCAGAGTCTTGTATGTGTACAGTGTGAGCATATCGCAGACAACATGTGGTAGGCAATTGGTCATAAAAAACCGTCTGGCATTGGTTTTCTGGATACAGAACCAAACCTTGATTTTCTTGGGGCAGGTCAACCTGGATCTGGTATGTACACCTCCATAATCCCATAATACCTTTTTGTTTCTGAGCTACACCAAACTTGAGTTTTAAGTCTGTTTTCCAGGTGCCTGTATTACTCGGTAGATTCCAGGGCACCTCCCAAGAAGTGGGGTGTCTTTGGTACAAGGGGTTGGCTACTGATTCATTTTCTAGGGTTGAAGGATTATTTATAAATAAGTAAAGTACTGATCAATTGGGAGGAAAAACATTTTTTCTTTCATACCTACTGGTACGCTGACTGCTTCTAGGACTGCCTACAGTGTATCGTGAGAGTGATCAGTGCTGCTTTTTGTTTGATCATGAGTTACCAGGTATGGTAGTTAATGCACAACTACTCTTGGATCATCTACCTGGTATGCCACAAGATCTATGGATTTTCACTAACGAAGGTCTTATCAATCCTGCCTGGAGTCGGCGCATGTTCAAATGGTTCCTTGTATTTTCCTCCTCTCGTGCGAATACATCACCTTCATACAGGTGCTGAAAGGATAGGAATGTCAGAGTACACTATATGAGCAACTGGAAATGGGAGGAAATAGTGGCTGCATTATGGTACAGTTCCGAATATTTACTGGAGAACCATTAGGTTCACAGTTTCGTAATCATAGAGTCTGCATTGCTAAAGAGCCTACTGAAGCTGAAATTGGGAGACTTTATACCAGCTTTGTATTTCTGGCACCGATTGCAAGGACCTGCCTGCAGTCAATATATGTCACTTGTCCTAGTAATTACCTTACAGGTGTCCAAAAAAGGTGCAGACAGGTTAAGGAGGCCATTGCATGCTCGGTCAAGTCTGGGGTTTATCTGGATCTGAAGATTTCTGTAATCCAGGAGTCATCACACAAGTTGGCCCATACGGAACCAGGCTACAAGGAAGAGTAGTACACTTCATAAAATTGTGACACGATGGTTAGACTACTGCATCCACAAGAGTTCACAGTACTACTCACAGCAGAATGGATTTGAGCTTTATAAGTACCTTTCCCGCCAAAAGGCTCTGAGGACCGCAGCAGGTTAGTTTTTTGAAGGCTATGTTCATGACTGGTTTCACCGCGGTCGCCACTTCACTGCCTAAGAACTTACAAACACTGGCGTTCAGCTTTTATCTTTTGTATTTGATATTGCAGCGAAGAAATCAGCCTCTTGAAATTATTTTACCACACCCCATGCTCACGATACCCAGGTGCGACCACTTAAATGACACGGGATTGTGCATGCTAGCACAGGAAAATATTTTCTCCCAGTCCGCAGTAACAATGAGAGTCTTTATATACTCCTATTCCATGCTATACATACCATAGTTGTGTTTCAAATTACTATTGCTTGAAAACATCCAATCAAGCCTCACAGGATCACTGAAATCCTTCAACCCTTGCCTGCTACAGTCAGGAACATAAACATCATCTTGGTGGTTCCTGAAGACTGTATCACTTCCTTCTCCAAACCATACCAAGTTGCTCTGGCAACAGATGTCAGACACCTCAGTATACAGGTAAACATTAGGCAGTTTCGAATTGTGTGCGATGATGCGACATTATCATTCATAGCCATGTATGGGGTATCCTCAGTAGGGCCAGAGGATGAGTGTGAGACAGGAGTAGAACACAGGGCCAGTGGTGGTCAGAAACGGAAGAGACCGGGAGGACAGGATACTGAGATGGGAAGATTGGAGGGTTACATGAAGAGGAGACGAATATGGAGTATGAGGGAGGAAGAGGCTGAAGTGAGAAAACGGGAGGAGGGGAAGGACAATATGGATGAGGAGGAGGACAACATAAATGAGGGGAAGGACAACTCAAGGAGGGGGAGGAGGCAGAGGAGGAGGGGGAGGAGGAGGGGGAGGAGGAGGGGGAGGAGAACGAAGGGTAGGAGGAGGAAGAGGAAGGGGGGGAGGACACATGGGGGGGGAAGTTGGGCAAGAAAGAGGAGGGGAAGAAGGGGTAGAAGGGGAATAAGGGGAAGAAGGGGATGAAAGAGAAGAAGGAGAAGAAGGAGAAGAAGGAGGGGAAGGCAAAGGAGACAAAGGATGTGAAGCTGCCAGTGAGAAGGGGGAAGATAGGGAGAAAGGAGGTCAAGGAGGAGACCGTGGAGACTGAGGTGGTAGATGGGGCGGTAGAGGTAAAAGAGCCTGTAGCCACAAAGGACAAACAGGACACCAAGATAAGGGAAAAGCGGGAGGGGTAGAAAGACAGAGTAGGCCGAGGTAGGCAGCAGGGAAGTGGGCAGGAAAGCCAGAAGGAAAGGAGATGATGATTGGAGGATAGAGAAGTCTAGGTGAGTGGAGGGAAACAGAGAGGATGAAGGGAAGGGGTCTGTGGAGTGAGTCATGTTGTGGGTTGGGATTGTAGTTTGAATCCTCATATGTATCTAGAAGCTGAATTAACTAGCTATCTGACGCTAGGGACTTGGTTTACCTGCATATCCCGAAATACCCTTTCCATGCACTAATACAATGAGCTTCCAGGGTTGAAATTTCCTCTTTGCAAGTTGGGAGTAAAAGTAAACCTCCTCTATTTGTTCATCACATTTCAATTTTATTTCAATTAGCATGACCACCTTCTTCCTCCTATTAAACATATGTTCAGGAATAAAAAATTAAGCAGGAGGTGAAAAACAGTAGCCTTGCCATAGTGATAGGTTCTATGGAGGAGAGGTAACCTACTTAACTTGTAAGGGTAAGATGCAGCCAAGTAACTACATTGGGCAGGCTAGTCCCTAATTTTGAATACTCTCAATATCCGAATTTTGCATGCACAATCTGCCCAACAGAGTGATGGAGGAATAAAGGTTGGGTGGAATATCCCAGCTACCATTCATATTTGTGATACATGTGTATACCGGTAGGGGGTAGGTAACTTGAGAGTCTAGTAAGTATACACTAGGCCCTTTATTCTTCGGTCTCAGATAGAGTCAAGAAGGCTCGGAAAGATGGAAGAAAAGTAGAATGAATATGATGATAAGATCTCTTCTCTGGTCGCGGATCATAGACTTAAAGCTTGGCAGGCACCCTGATATTTATGTTCTGTGTCTGTGTAGTCGTGGCCTATATCCAATCCCTTACTGACCATGTACCTGCCGTACTAACAATTCCAGGTTCATGAGGTGCGAACACCATTTGACCCTGAAAACTAACTTGCTTGCTCTCTTCCTTAATGGAGTGATCAGGTCTACTAAAGGACTTATTAATAACTCTTCGATGTGCATAGCTTAGAGTGCATGACAAAGATAATAAACTTGACCAGTGAGTTGTTATTTAACCAATCATGAACAGGTTTTCTGGATGACTCTAGTTCATGTGAGCAAAACGGGTCATGCAGGTCACTTGTCGTAACTGCGCATAGACTTGCGGAGGTTGTAGCTCCTTAACTAACACACCAACCTGAATTACCTAAGTCTTGTCTTGTAGAGATGAGCTCCTTCTATGTTATCCAGCCAAAGCCACTCAGTCGCATGCCTCATATATCTGCAGAGCGGGCTGCATAGATGCCTTATCGTTTTGTGTGATAATATGATATCGTGGCAATAACTAGGGAGGGGTCGGGATTCAAACACGTGACCTTATGCATTTAGTCAGATGCCGGAGTGATCATGCTTCTATCTGTAACATTAGCTTCCTCCTCTTCTAGACTCATCCTCGAGTCTTTTCTATATCTAACTCTATAGAACAAAGTATGGTCCGAATTATTTCCTGTTAGGACTGTTTCTAGGTAGGGTAAAAAACCTTTGCGCGTTTACTTGTCCACACCTAGGAAAACCTTTCCTGCCCATCCTACCTCAGCCGTAGCATTTCCCGGTGATCTCTGTGGAATTCATCCACTAAGTTGGCAGCATGTTCAAGAGGCTCACCCAGTTCCCAGGTGTTTTCATTCAGCGAACACTCTCTCCACTTGACAAAATATTTGACTTCTCTGAGACGCTTATTGCATCCGGAATCTGTCTTCATGTAGGACAGAATTACGCCTTTAACTTTCGTCTCTACCTCCCATTCTAGATTGCTATCTATCTCTTCTGGTACCTGCGCCCTCTGTTCCCTTTCTGGTCAAACCGATGTCCGATAGGGTTCCAGTAGTGACATATGCAATGTGGAGTGGATTTTCTACCATTCGGCAATTTCCAACTTAAACGCTCTGTCCCCTGATTTTTCAAGTATTCAGAAAGGTCCATAAAGCTTTGGACAAAGCTTCTTCGAAGGGTGCTTGGTCTGTATATTCTTTGTGTTAAACATTACTCGATATCCGACCTCAAGGTCCCATTGTTCCTTAACCTTCTGGTTGTAGTATTGGCTCCTGGCTTCTTGAGTAAGTTGTAAGGTGTCCCGGACTTGTTGGTGAATTTCCTTCATCCAATGAGCTTAGGTTATTGCTCCTGGATTCTGTACTTCTCTTTCCTTTATCTACTCTGTTTGTGGATGATACCCGTTGAGTGCATAAACTGGGGTTAAACTTTACCCTTGCATTACCGTGTTGTTGTATGCGTGCACAGCTAATCGTGATAGAGAACATCAATTGTCTTAATCATAGTTGACGAAACTTCAGCCGTAACCTTCTAGCACTGGGTTGGTCCTTTTGGTTTATCCGTCAGTTTGTGAATTGTAGGCGGTCAACATTTTTCTCTTTATGCCCAGTGAAGCATACAGCGATTCCCCGAATTCTCCTGGAAACTTTGCATCCATGTCTAAAACAATTTCAGTAGGCAACGCGCGAAGCTTGCAAACTTTCAGTACGAATGCAGTTGCCACATCCTTAGCACTTGTGGTTGCGGTAGAGGGACAAAGTGGACCATCTTGCTGAATCGATCGACTAGAACCATAATTTGGGTGTTGTCATTCAAGGGAGGAAGTTGTGTGATCAAGTCCATGGAAATTGAGCTCCATATTGGCATAGGTATTTGGAACGGTTACACAATCTGTATTTAGCATGTCAGGAGGCTTTGCTGTGTTGCCATTCGCTACAAGACCGTACATAGTCATTAACGGAGTCACTAAGTCCTTTGCAGTTCAAATCTCGCGTGATGATTTCTGGAGTCTTCTCTTGTCCGAAGTGTCACACTATTATTGAGTCATGACAGCTACTTGCCATCCAGGTTCGTAGTTTCTCACAGGCTAGTACGTACAGCCTCTTTTTGCACTAGATGAGCCCATCTTTGGTTGATGAATTCTTAGGCCATTATGCGTTATCGTTTCGTAACCTTTCCAATTCCACTCATCTGGATAGCCAGCCCTTGTCCTCCGCGCCAGCCATCTTTACCGAAGATGTAAACTCTTCATGGAACTTCTTGTGGTTTGTGTTTAGCACAACCCTGCTTGCCATGACAACTAATTCTTTATGCAGTTAGTCATGAGTTTCTTCCTCAGATAAATCTAAGTATTGCTGGAGATTTGTATCCTCATTTAGGAAGGTGATACATGGTAGGGTCTCAGTTAATCCAGTGCCTGTGCTCCTAAATCCTTGTTCTCCTGTTTCGATGTATCATCCAACTCCATTTCTTCCTAAGGTTCACCAGTGTGACTCTTTTCTTAGATTAGTAGGGCAATCTTGGTACCAGCCGGTGCTTTGTAGTCCTCCCTATGTGTGTTCTACAGCAGTGCTTTTACTTGTCCCCCGTAATCCACATCAATAACACCAGCGCGGGTGTCAATCCCATATTTGATAGCTCAACCAGTTTTTGGTGCGATGCCTCCGCAAGTTCCTTTAGGGACTACCATTGCAATCCTGGTTTCCAGCAGGGCTTGTCCTTTTCCTGGTATGATAGTATCTGTTAATGCATACAAATCGTAGCCAACTGCTACTCTTGTTCCTTTGGTTGGTAACTTGGTCTCCCGGCAGAGTCGCATACCGTGAAATCGGTTTGGTATGGGGTTGCCTGTTACTTCATCGTCGTATTACGATCCTAGAATGATAGAAATTCAGGCAATGGCGAAGTGCGCTGGTTGGAGAATCGACTGCACAGTTTGTTTAGCTCCTCCCTCAGGGTGGTACTCCGGCCGGCTACTTAGCACATCAGGTGTGCCACTGCTCATTTCTGGCTGAGAAACAATTTTAAAGTTGAAATCTGTTAACTTTTACGACCAGCAAATTTGCCAGGCGCTCCTGACTTTTGTAGTGAGGAAGGGCTGTAGGTTCTATTGATCTCTATACAAGGTGATCGGATGATCCATTCTGCTCAAATAATGTCGCCATTCCTTGAATGCTTCGACAATGGCGAGAAGTTTCTTGTCATATATATAATAATTGTGTTCTGCCGGATTGGACTTTTAGGAGTGGTAAGCCATTGGGTGTAATTGTTTTTGCCAAAAACTGTGCGAATATGCAACCCAAGGCGAAGTCACTACCGTTGGTTGTCACAACTGTATCCCGTTCAGGTTTGAAGTGTCACAATATTGGTGCTGTAACCCACTTCTCTTTCAGAAGTGCAAAGGATTCATTTGCTTCGTCTGTCCAGTGGAAACGGTTTGGATTTACCTTCAACAATTGTGTAATCGGTTTGCAAATCGCGGAGAAGTTCTTTCTCAATCGTCGG